CCCCAAAACCCCAAAACCCCAAAACCCCGGACGATTTGAATTTTAGAATAAATTTGGATATTAAAACAATCACGGAATACATCCCATAAATATGATTACAGTCAATTAAATATATCTTAATAAATTTAAGTTTAGAGATTATTTAATTTCTACTATATTTAGTTATAAATTTTGCGATCTCCTTACTATAAAGCAGCCAAGATATATCATTGAGTTAATAAATATAAAATGCCAGCAAAAATTTTCCTAGCAACTTCAATCGTCGCCGCACTTTTTATCGGCCTCTCCTAAGGAGTTCAACTTAGAACTAAGACTTCATCAATCATAAATTCCAAATTACAAGCAGGTCTTCTTAACCAGAAAACATAAGCTAACTCACAGATTAAGAGACTTGAAGAACCTTATGAGTTGGAACCTGAAGATTATCAGGCCCTCGATGACCTTGCACTATTGGCTTTCAGAGTAAGACACGTCAGTGGAATGCATGTAACTGCTTACACTTCAATCTACTAATTCTAGTCTGAATATAAAAAGCTAGCAAAAGGAGCATTCTCTGAAAGATAAAGCTTCTAAAGATGGTTAAATGATGAAGCTGAAAGATTGAGATCTTTTGAAGAGGGAATGGTCGATAAACTATTAAGTGATAAAGATCAGGAAGTATATGAAGAAAAAGAAGATTTCGTTAGTCAATTCCCTGATTATGATCCAAATGAATGGCATTTATCTAAACTTGAAGCAAGCGATATCTACTCTCTTGTTGATACAGTGACTTCATACGATAACTCCATTGCCATGAACGATACTCTAACTGAAATTGTTAACTAAGTTGCCAATGCCACCTCAGAAGATGAATTCCGTCAAGCTTATTATCCTATCCTTGATAGATTGTGGAGAAGAGTAGATGAAAATACTGAACATCATTAAAAATAATTGAGAATATAATACGAGGGTGAGGAAGAAGAAGAAAGTGGAAATTATTCAAATAACACATACAACTACGACTCAGAAGAAAATGATACCTCAAACTAAACTTAAAATAGTACTTTTTCAGGCATTCAAATAGATGAACAGGATATGAAGCATGTAAATGGTTTGATTGAGAAAGTTACTACTGATGAGTACGAGGCTACTAATCTCCTCAATAGAATTATTGGTATGGCTGAACATGCTGAAACTTATGATTAATGGTGGAATGAATACATCACTCTATACTGGCAATTAGTTGATGAGTTCGAAAATAGATAAAGATAAAATCAATGAAAGCTGGAAAATTTATTATCACTTCTTTAATGGCTTATCAAAAGATATAATCCTCCCAAAGTATGATTTATCTTTAGGAAGCTTACTAACTTTAATTATTTATTTCTATAATCACTTAAGACGTCATCAGTATTTTATATATCTCTAACAAACAATAAAATTATGAATCTAAAATATTGCTTAGGGGTTTTGGGGTTTTGGGGTTTTGGGG